GTCTCTGAGCGTCTAATCCGGTGCCCGGTGATAATACGCTCGTTTTTGTTTGAGCCTGCGCACCGAGTAAAGCGTACACGTAAGATCTGATCGATTCGTTGATCTTTATGATTCCCGCGGAGGTGAACGAACTCGTGTCGGGTATAAAATCTAACCAAGCCATTTTGACGATGTCGTCTTGTTCGAGATAACCCTTCCAATGCTTAAAAAAAGCATCGTGTTTTTTTGGATCGTCTAAACCCCAATTTTTATCACCCGTGGGGTTGATAAAATCGTCGAGTGTGGTCGTGTTTTTATCATAGTCTAACGGCAAGAGTAAAAACGATTTTGTTTTTTCGTTCCAAAGAAAAAGCCGACCTAAGCCATAAGTCTTTTGATCTCTCGTCTGTTTAAAAGACTTATTTTGATCGATGGCAAACGTCCGACAGATGTTGGTAAATGCTCCACGATCATAGGTGTTGCTGAGAGCGTCAAACGAGTCTTCTCCCGGTATTGCTACGGCCATGTCGTTTAATATCCTTCTCACCGTAAAGTATAGATGAAAATTAAATAAGGCTTTAACGTAACGGTTGTTCGAGTTTAAAATATCGATTCCAACACCACAACCCGTTGTAGCGCAATAGATCGCAAAGTTTAACTGATTTTGATAAAAAGACATGGGGTCTATTTTCCAACGAAGTACAGCATCGTTGGTATTGAGGCGAGATATTTTATAGTCCGAGATTAAGTCGGGAAACGGGGTTAAAAACGTGTTAGACGCGTTGACCGTAATCTCGAGTTCGCCAGTGAGATACGGACTGTCTAGTACATGCGCTGGGGTGGTAGCTTGTCGTTTAGCTACATTTTGATTTACTTGTTGCGTTACCTGATCAGCTATCGATTGTATCTGCTTTTTTAACGACTCAAAATCACTCATTATTTTAGTTTCAGTTTTAATATAAAAAGACTTTAAAATAAATGCATTCGTTTCACTTGTTTCAAAATGAGCAGACGTTTAAATTAGAAGACGTCGTAGATAATTTAAACGGTCAAAAATCTATACGCGTAAAAAGGGTGTTGTTTAACGCAGGATATTTTAATATTTCCAGCGCCACGGAGATTGATTGGTTTACGCAAATAGATGGGAGACCCGCGTTTACCACAGATAAACCTCCCCCCATACCCGCGGAGTTTCTTTCAGATGTACACATAAGAACGCCGGATAGAGATTTTATAGAGCGATTGTTACCCGATATACCATACCACTTTTTAATTAACGATGAAAATGTTTTACAAAAAACTATAAACGATCTTATAAAAGCGTACGAAGACGATAGACTAGAATCCGTTTTAGAATCAAACAAAAGAAAAAGAGCTATTATAGCTGAACGGCGAGGGTTGATTTTAGCCGCCATGAATTCAGAAATACCAAAAACTGAATTAGAACTTAATACGCTTCAATCTTTAGTAAGAATATTATTTGTTAGAGAAAGAAAAATCTTTGAAGGTGAGGAATTGGCTTTAAAGTTTATTGAAGGAGAAATGGGTGCGAGCGAATTGAGCGAGTTGAGAGATAGTAGGGAAGCAGGGGTAATTATCAGGGGAAGTCTTATCGTGACGGGTGAGGATTTAGATTTTATTCCTCCGAGTCATTTAGAGCCGTTGCCACTCGGAGTCACCGGTTCGGTCATCATAGCACCGGGGTGGTACGACGTCGATTGGTTCGATTTCATTTTAAATTCTATACCCGGGGTAAGTTTTCGAATATTTAGAGAATCTAAAAAGGTGACATTGGTGATAACCGACGTAAATCTCAAATTGCGCTTGAACAGAGAAGTCTCTCGATTACTCAATTTACCCAAAGGAAGACTGGTACCCAAAGTGGTGTATACGGGGTCTTACGACGTTAATCCGTTTAAATTTTTGTTTATTCACTGCCCGCAATTAAGTACGAGTGAAAACTTTTTTAATGGTCGTCCTTCTGACATCTTAAAAATCGTACCCGTGGCTACGCGCAAACCCGATATTGATAGAGCCGAGGGATTCAAAAATCTTAAAAACGGTATAATCGACAAACTGACATTTTCTATCAGCGGTGAAAAAGGACAGGTATTCAACAATAAGGGTGAGGGTATCATTATCGAGTTGGAGATCTTTTAATTTTAAAATCTTTTTATATTAAAAACATGAGTATAGATGGTAAGGCGTTATACCCCGATATTTCTGGAGATGTACTCCGATTAAATAGTAACGAAGAAACAAAAGTGTACAGACTTAAAAAGATTGAAGAGATTCGATCTTTAATCTTAAAAGAGAGAGACCACCGAGAGCACACTTATAAAAAAATAAAGAGAATGATCGACACTATTAATTACGTAGAGATAGGATTAGAAGGATTGGGGGCTATAGCGGGGGCTGTTGGTATTCCCGCTCTCTTGGGTGTTATATCAGCCCCCGTTGGATTGGTGTTAGAAGGAACGTTTATAGGCGCTTTTGGTGTAGATATTCTGCTTAGAATCGCGTCTAGGCGATTATCCGCCAAGCTGAAAAAGCACGACCAGATTAAAATATTAGCAGACTCCAAACTTAACACGATTGAAGAATACGTATCTCAAGCCATCAACGACGGAGATATATCACACGAAGAGTTCTTATTGATTACGAGAGAGCTCGCCAAATTTAACGAGCTTAAGCAAAAAATTAGAACAAAGACCAGCACAAAGCTTCAAAAAATTAAAAACGATATAGACTTTGAAAAAGAAGTTAATAAACGGGTAGACGAACGGCTGGCAAAAGAAAAAAAATCTCTTATCGAAAAACTTACAAGTTCAAATTCTCGGTAAATAAACATTATGAAAGCGAACCACCGAGTTATACCTCTATTTCACCTCTTAGGGCTACGCCCTCGGCCCCGCCTTTATTGTAGTGGTCATCGTATATTTTTAGTGCCTTATTAAATTGATTTTGAGTCACTTTAAATAAATCTCTAACTCGTTCTTTGTCTAATCCAACGACGTGATGATAACACGCCGCTATTAATGACCGTTTGACGCAACCATTTCCCCTCAATGTTTTGTAATTAACGAGCTCGTTATATTTATTGATTGTTTCTTGGACATCTTCTGAGTCTTGCTCTGGACAAACAGACAAAATAAGTTTCTCCACAGTTTTTCTTTTGTTTCTCTTTAAAGTTGACCAATTGATACGATCTTCTTGCGCATTTTCTGCCGAAAAATCAAAATAACGTGAAACTATTTCACCGCACGTTTCACAAATTAAAAAACCATTCTCGATGATTATATGATGATCGCACTTATCCCCAAGTTGTGACGTCCCAAAGTATTCCATCTATTTAATAAAAACCGATATTATTTTTTATTCATTTTTCAAATACTCGTCGGTCTAAACATATTACTCTCCATTTTTATATTAAAAAACAGCTCCTCACCTTTTACAGGGTAAGGAGCTAATTTTTTTTGTCTCGAGTTTCAAGGTCACGTGGTGGTGACTCACATATTTTTCAAGGTCACGTGGTGGTGACATCACCTCATTTTAGCGATGACAGATTTTTTTTTTTTTCTCTCTCTCTCTCGGCGTCAGATTTTTTTTTTTTTTTTTTTTTTCCCGGCGTCAGAGATATATTTTTTTTTCTCTCTCTCTCTCTCTCGGTGACAGGATTTTTTTTTTTTTTTTTTTTTTTCTCCCGGCGTCAGGATTTTTTTTTTTTTTCTCTCTCTCTCTCCCGGCGTCAGGATTTTTTTTTTTTTTTCTCTCCCGGCGTCAGATATTTTGTATTCTTTTTTTTTCTCTCTCCCGGCGTCAGGATATTTTTTTTTTCTCTCTCTCTCTCGGCGTCAGATTTTTTTTTTTTTTTGAGATCGGGGGATTTCCCATTGGCCCTGTACTACCCACAGACCTATGACAAAGTCTGGTACCCTGACTTCTCATTAATGGCCCTGTACTACCCACAGACCTATGACAAAGTCCAGCACCCCCGCCTCCCTTACTACTACATACATGTGCATACCCTTCTTCTTGTGAATAATAATGTAATGTAGGCCAAAAGATAATTAAATTTTTTTTTTTTTTTTAATTAATTTTTTTTAATGTCTGTATTTGTTTGTTGGAGTCAAATAAATAATAACAATAATAAAATATGCGCATATTTTTTTGGACATGCATGCTATCGATGTGGAGTTTCGAGTTCGTATCAATGTTTTTACACACAATGATTTAGGGCCACCGTCATGACCGTATGCAATAGAAATATCCCGCCAACATACCTTGCAAACGCATGCTGATTTATCTTTTCTGGACGTTGTGACAAACTCAAACTGTAATACCAATTATTCCAACCATACTCTTATTAAATTCCATGATTAAATTGTCGCACTGATGGGTCTTAACCCGGCAAAAAGCGACCAAATGTGCTCACGATCGTCACTGAAAAGTACTCACATACAGTACACACAACCACACATCCACGAGATGCACACAAATGACACACCATTGAAAAATAGTTTTAGTCTGGTCCTCAAGTACTCCACTGCGCACACTGCATTGATGTCTATCTGGTGCTTGACTGCATTCTTATTAGACTTGTCACCAGTCCATCCATTATCGCGACATTTCGCCAGAAGTTTTCGGTCAAAAACGATACTTTACATTTTTTTTTTTCATTAGGTAGAAAATGGGAAATTTGTAATGTTTTAGTGGCAAATCGTATTTTCGTAATTTAACAAACAATTCGTAATAATTACGAAAAAATCATACTAGTTGGCAGCTATGTAAATCCCCCACCCCCTGGTGTTTATGCCGTGATGAGACCCAGTTTTCCAGTAGGTCCACGGACAGTTGGTCTCAATCTACTTCTGAATGAGAGAGTTTCTATAAGCAGGGGCATGGGGTTCACATCCCACCAATGACACTTCAGAGTTGCCCAGAAATCATCAAATCAAAAGGATGCAGAACAAACATGAAAAGATTGGATATAAATAAAAATGAATGTCAGTTTAACTCACCGATGCCATCTACACTCTTGCCCATGGTAAACTCACACTTGTTGCATATAATACTGGCTGTGAGTGGGGACACAAAAATGAAAATGAAGGAACAAATGCAGCCTGACTTTTATTCAGTTCTCATGTGGTTGACTGTTTCCCACCGCTATCAGAATATACAATGACCAGGAACCAGTCTACTCAGCAGGAGGGTCTCATAGTGTGCAAATACAACCAAAAAGAACTTTTTTCAGAGGGTTGCATACAGATGACTAAAATGGCAAAACAAGTACAAGTACTTTTCCCTTAAAATAAAACCTAGCAGTTGAACAATTCATCAGCAGAAGAAAACATTGTTGAGGATAGGCAGCACTGACTTTCAAAAATGAAAATTGTCTTTTTGTTTTTATCTACCATACAAAGATCTGCATACATGAACAATGTGAATTCTACTTTCCATAATCAGTAACATGAACAAATTTAAACCAACTGGTTGGTGATTTTTGTGATTTAAAAAAAAAAAAAATTAAACAAAAATCAGATTTATTTGATTTAAATCAGATTTTTGAGTGGTTGGGCACAACCCGACCACTCTTTGGATTTGTTGCGAATAATCTTTCTTTTTGGGGGGGGGGGGGGGGGGCAATACTTCTCCGTGGGTTTTCTCTTAAACAGTATATGGTATGAACTATGATTGGAGACTCGGACTTGGACTTGACGTTGGTGACCTGACTACAACACTGGTACTTGGTCACAGAGTCCACTGTACCTACCAGGTAATTCTGAGTTGACCACCCCAGGGTAGACAGGCAAAGGCCCCCATGAGGTGACGACATGAAGCTTGTCCCTCAGCTCAGGATGGCCCTTCATCTGTAAGGCCAGGGTGTTGGAGTTGATGCCTGTACCGTCTGCTGTCTTATTAAGGATCATCTGGATGGGAACCTGGGCAGGAAAACAAAATTACGAGATGTAAATTATCTTTTTTATATTGGATTTTGTTTGCCCTTCACAGACATATTTTGTAAACACTGTACACTTAGCGTTGTCCGAAGGCTTAGGTGGGACTCAAACTAATGACCTCCTACACAAACAAAGTTGGGTTAAGCGCTGCTACATCAGACTCCAAACGGCCAGCTGGCCACAGCAAGCTCAGTGGTCAAGTGGTTAATGCATTTGCACTAGGAAGCAGAAGATTGTGGGTTTGTGTCCAACCCGAAGAAAGCTTGTGTCTTTGCTCCGTGCAAGCCCTAGGACTACACTCGAGTGTACAGTGTTTGTAAAATACTTCGGCCAGGGCAACAAAAAGTACGTATATGAAAAAGAATAGCAATAATTAAATGGATGAAAACCAATTGTACTGAAGTTGATTCCTTCTTTCTGATTCACATTTTCAAATTTCACAATCATTCACATAGAATTGAGATGTGGACCAATGCAAATGAGTCTTCACAGATGTTTGTCTTACCTGACTGGATAATTTTACCAAAGAAACTGGCCTTGGTCTCTCCTATCTTTTCGAGTTCTCGATGGGTAATCCCAAATCTAATCCCGAATCCGCTCAGTGAATGGGAGTCGTTGTAGGCCCAAATAGATCCATGTAGGTCCTCAAACACTTTATATTTATCACTGAAACATAAACAATGCAATTATTGAAACATTAACATCGTATCAGGGGCGGGGGAGGGGGGGGGGGCGGATGTCAGGCGAAGAAAAGGGGTTGGGGATTACATTCCCCTCCCCCAATAAAAAATAGACAAGCACACTTTTCCCTTCCCAATTGTCACATTTGTGGAAGACATTGTTCTAGTGAATGTTTGCAGTTTGCAGTAACACCATGTAGACATGTAGAGTCTCTTTTGGGAAGATGTGTGGTTCTGAAAAGAACCAACCGGTTCTTTTCAGAGCCACACATCTTCCCAAAAGAGACTTCTACATGGTGGTACCGCAAACCTTTACTAGTTCATGTCACCACGTAGTTAGGACCAAGTAGTTAGCCCTTGCAAATTGCCTTGCAAAGATGTTCCATCAACAAAACTGAGAATATGACAACATCAACTTGATTGTCAGGCAAGGCAGAGACTGATTTCAAATGACAACAACCCCAGAAAGTGAAAAAAAACATAACCCTCTTATCAGATGACAATCAACATTCGCCCAGGAGAGAAAAAAAAAGCAACAGATAAAAGAGATCAACTTGTGATTTGTGAATAAAAACTTCCATTTGACTTCATTCCTTATCAGATCAAAATTGAATATCAAACAGAAGGGAAGTACAGAATTGTTGTATGGGTAAATAAATCAACATCCAAGGGAAGAACACAATTCACTTTGGGGAAAAAAGACAGCATGGATTGAGAGAAAAGAAAATCTCCTCTTTTTTGCTGTTGTCTACATCTATACACCTTTGCACAAAGTAAAATTAGTGCTTAAAGATGTTTTGAGTGAATGTTACTTTCCGTCGTCAGTAACATGACCAAATTGAAACCAACTACCAACTACCTGCTCCTCTGTCCAATCATCCATATACTGTCATTATCCCCAAAACCATTTCAGGAGGTATTCATCAAGTATATTCCCACGTAACCGGTTGAACCAACTACAGGATGAGTCAAAAAGAAAGTGACAGAATTTGAAAAATGTTTAAAATATTTGGCTTGTTCTATGTTAAAAAAAACACGGATAAAGTACATCTTATTGACTATTAACTGTGAAAATTTCACTTAAATTGCATACTCTATTCCCAATTTATGTCTATTTCTATAAAATGATCACAAAACTTGGCTGTCCACCACTTATCAATTACCGTGCTGCGAACTGATAATACATGTACCCATTGAGGACAATGAAACATCCATCGTTTTCCCACCTCCGTGAATGAACCAGAACTTGCAAAGGAAAAGATACAAAAATTACCAACCATATTTCAAAGAAAGAGAGAGTTGACTTGTTTCTCATATTCAAAACACACAACCTGATAGTGAATATTTCAATCATTAAACTCTCACTTGTATTTGAATACTTGTGTGTAATCTGTAATTCTCACTTAGCTCATTTAGCTTTTAATATTATCACATTCCTTGGATAGCTACACAAATGGGTTCTTTTTATGTATGCATAACTTTGGATGGCATGGATCAATGTTAGTAATTGTGTTTTTTCAGATGAATGGAAGAACATGCTCTTTTAAGACATACTTCTTCGGTGTATCTAATTTGATTGCTTTTAAAGAAAAAAAATCTTGAGTGCGGGTCACTTTCTTTTTGACTCGCCCACTTTAAACACAATGTGAACATGCATCTCTCACATGCTAAACTTAATTGTCTTCCTTTTCTATCGTCCTCTTTTTTTTCTGTCTTTTCTTTTTGTACGGTAGCACTCACATTGAGTGGCATTTATGTCTTATGAAGGGCCGACTTGCATACAAACAACAATTACATGTACACAATATGCATGTTTAATCTGGAGTAAATAATTTAAAGTGAAACAAATTCAATGCTCAGATTTCATGTCAGTGCAAGTAGTGAAACTGACTCACATGTACATGCATCTGCTTTGGTTTTTATACAGGAACTGATACCACAAGATAGTCACATGCATTAAAATCGGACAGAAATGTGGGGGGGGGGGGGGGGGGGGAAGGAGAGAAAAGAAAAAGAAACTTTCTGTTTCAATTACACTTTGTTTAAAGTCTTGCAATCCCTGTAAGTATAAATCTGGAGTGATCTTGAAATAGAGCAGAACATTCTTTGCTGCATCTGAATAATATGTAGCTCACGGAGCTCAATGCTACATTGTGCATGAACTATGGGTGATGGCTACCAAAACAGCTCCACTCCATCAACTGGGTGGAAAACTGAAGTTGAAAAGCACCTCGAGAACTTTTACATGAGTGAAGAAAGAGCTTATCAAATGATATGGTTAAGTACTGAAATCATCGCACCAATTGGCCTCTGCTTAAACTTTGTCTTTCTCTTCACAGTCATTCGAGTGAAGTCCATGCATACAATCATCAACATCTACTTATCCAATCTGGCTGTGGCTGACTCCCTCCTTCTTATGACTCACTTCATATTTGCAGTGTTTCCACCTATAGAGTCCAACTTATTGGTCAAAAAGGCAATAACAAGTGTCCAATACACGTTCTTTGCTACTTCTAATTTCTTTGTGATTACAATAGCGGCTGAGAGATTCTCCGCAGTACGCAATCCTTTGACATTCAAGGAAAAAGCCTCTAAATCTCGGGCAGCAAAGATATCAGCAGGACTCTGGGTGCCAACAATTATTGTTGGTGTGATTCTGATTTTCTTACCATTAACAGATGCTGTCTCCACTAAAGTCTACTTTGGGATTCTTTCTATTATCAACATTGCCTCTTTGATAGCAACTCTTGCTTTGTACATCTATGTAGTATTGAAAGTGTGCAAGCAATCAGCCCTGTTGCCGAACCGTCCCAAGCGAGCAGGCAAGGTCCTCTGCATGGTTATCATCAACACTGCTGTTTTCTTCATTCTGAACTCACTGTACACTGCAGCTGCAATTATGACCATTCATGGACTTGTAGTGGCATCAAAGTATACTTTAACTGCTAAGATTGTTGCCAATGTGGAACTTGCAGAGACAATACATATTCTGACAACATGCATTACAATTTTGCAACTGATCAATAGCTCCATTAATTCCATGGTCTACAGTGCCACAAACACTGACTTTCGTGAAGCTGTAGTCAAGGCTTTCTCATTCCTCAAACTGTGCTGTCGTTGCTGCCCGAGACGGAATCCCAGCCGACCATCGCAGTCAGGGAAGCAGATTGAGCTTCGTGTGATTCCACAGGAAGAAAATGACCAAGAGCACCATGCTGCCAGGCCAAGCAGCAGCAAGCCACCAGGCCAAGGGCATGCACAACACACAGAGAGTCAGCAGTCACTGGACAGCTGTCAAGAACAATGTTGCATGCAATGCGGCAGCAAGGCATCCATGCACAGTCAGCAGCATGTTCAAGTGCATGTTGATGTACATGCAGAACCAGCGCGGACCCCAGCCCTTGCAAGTTCTCATCAGGAACAATGCTCTAGTCTGACTGACTGCAAGCTATCCATGCAAGGGGAACAGTGTGAACATCTAGAACCAGCAGAAAGCCAGCAGTCACTTGCAAGTTCTCAGGAACAATGTCCTGGGCTGACTGGCACTGAGCCTTCAGCACAAGGGCAGCAGTATGCACATCCAGAACCAGAAGGGATTTAATCTTTGGAAAGTTGTCAAGAACAATGTTCACTGGTACCTGATAAGTGCAAGCTGTCTTTAAGGGCAGCAGTGTGTAGAGTGAGTGCTGCTTTTGAACTTGCTGTGTTCAAAGTGTAGAGCAGATTTAAGGCCGTTTCATACATCTTCTTCATTGGAATGCCAATGAAGTAGATTTGACATCGAGAAACATTAACAACACAATATGCTGGAGTTGAAATGTGTTTTACTTCAGCGAATTGCCAATACATGTACGCACCATGACATCAGTAATGTGCAGGCCTGCCCAGAGCAGATTGCAACCAACTATCAGTAAAGGGAACAGCTGGTATTCATGCAATGTATGTATGTAAAAGGTTCAGAAATGAACAAATCCCAAATAGTTTAATTATTTGAATCAAACATTTGTTCGTGTTTAAAGGTAGAGTAGATCATTTGCAGCTACCCAAAAAGTAACTGACAAAATTACTGTTAAAAGGCTTTTGGTTTTAATGGCACTAAACTCCCTGTGAAATCTTTCTTTCTGGCATGCTGTCATTTTGAAGGAAACAATGAGAGACAGCAATTTTCAACGATGCATCATGTTAGTTCATGTAGTTGGTTTGTAAATTTGGTGAATCCATGAATATGTGCGCAAGCGTCGACACGACGTACACGCACACTAGGTTGGTATTATATGTCAGTTCAGTGCATGACATCGCGTAGCTGTAATTGACTGAATGAGAATGTGTCCCTGGGGCTGAATTCAGACGCAATATAAAACATGACTCAGCAACTTTTGAATTGAACCTGAGATCTTAGAGTATATGTTTGGAATATACTGCATTCACAGAGCTTCATCATGTTAGTTGTTAAGCACCCGTTTTTAGATTTTGAACACTTTTGTAGCTTCAAATGAAAAAAAAAATGCACAAATGACAAATGATCTACCTTTCCTTTAAATGAGCAAGTTTGTTACTTTTTTCAGTATGAAAATGTACATGTATTGGTACTAACATATGGATAACCCTGAAAGTTCACTGTAAATAAAGATTTTTTTTTTAAGTGCTTTTGAAACAGATTTGGAGGTTTTTATTTTAGGAAATGCACCTCTGTATTCCAAGTCTTTGGATGTTTCAGGCTTTTACATATTTTCATGATGGTGCCAAGATGTATGTTCATGAGAAATACAGTGATGTCATGAGCTGGAACTTCAGTGTCACTGCTGTTTGAGGGGAAAATAATGTTAACAAAAGTGTTTTGATCAAGTTTGATGTGACTGTTACGTTCATTAGCACATACCATGCAGCCAATGAGATATTTAAATGTACAAACTTTTAGACATGAACAATGCAACTAATTTTAGGTTCATTTAGGTGCATTGCAAAAAAGTGTACGTTAAATGTGGTCAAACAAACACAGGGCTTGGATATTTCATGTTTTAGTGAAATTCATTTTACAGCCTTTTGATTCTGTTATTAACAGACCTTGACAAATCCCAAGCATGGAGCACAATACATACATACTCCTAAAAAGGCACAAACTGTATGGTTATTGTTATTGAGGGTTCAATATTTAGGGAGCAAACTCACCGCAAATCCAAAGTGTCTTGGGAGGATTTGGATCTCAATCTTGAAGATCTCTGAGGTGAAATGCTGTTGTGTCCGATAGTGATAAGGGTCCGTTATGGCAGCACCAGTCACTGGTACGTCAGAGGTGCTGCTGGAATGGTGAGTCAAGACCTGATGCACAAATGAACAGATTAAAAAATTGATATGGCTAGAGCTATATTGTCTAGGTCTTCACCCATAACAATTACATGGGAACAATCTGACAATAGCCGTAGCCATAGCGCCAGAAGCCCGTTTCAGACACAGCCTAAGTAACAGATCAACAAAGTTGCAAGTTATGCATTAGGAGCATCTGATTCCAAATACATTACACCAATCTTTGTGCATACATGTACATGTAGCACAACGTGGAAAATACTTTTTGCAGACCAAATAAAGTGCAGAATTTTTGTTCAAACTTTCTTGAATTCTATCTTTAGCAAGGAGAAATCCAATTGAATAGATGTTTTGCTGCAGAGCACAGATATATGATATACGAGACCATTGTAGGCTTTAGATGTACAGTATGGGATTTAAGTCTGGTGTATTAAAGGTGTCTTCACGGCTACTATCTGGAAAAAAAATGTAGTTGACAGTTGAAGTCAACAATTTGTACTCCACTTCTGTCAATAGAGCGTGCAAGTTGACCTCAAAAACCTAGGTGATTTTACTAGGTTTATCCAGTCAAGGGCAAAGAATGGGTTCTGAACAAGAAATCATCATTCCAATTTACAACACATTAAAACAATATTGCAAGTTGATTACTTTAGTAAACTGAAAAAATGTTGACCTCCACATCCCTGCATTGGTTGAATTCAAAGACAGGAGTCTGTGGCTAGACTAGTCAGTGTTTAGTACCAAGATGTTCACATGAAACGTGAATGTGAACTGGCGAGACTTGCATGCTCTATAATTGTACATATAATCTGTGTAGCACCACTAGTCTGTTGTATTACATTATGAGCTCCATGTCTGTATGATGTTTAAATGCAAAGCAATATTCTGATATTTCTCTTAGATGGACTCAAGGGTACTTCAAATTTGGGAAATTGAAAAATCAATGCCGTGAAATATGAATGTCGTTGTAAAGTTAGCATCGTACAAGATGTATCTTAATTTGCACAGTATCCAAGGAATTGCTGCTTTTTATATGTTCATTAAAGCTGCAATTTCCTTGTGTAATTTAAAACTCTAAACACAAATAATACAGAAATGTACTATCACCAAATCAGTGTTTGAGCTCTTACGTCTTTCAAATACCTAGTAATACTTGGAAAAAAAATTGAAGGGCAAACCATGTTTCTAAAAGTCACATACTTTTTATAGGGCAAACAAATTTGCGTGTAAAAGCAAGATCAGTGATAAGATAAATAAAAGTGTACACAAGCAACATTTAAACAGACAGTGATTTTCCTGATTTTTTTTATTTAAAACCTAATTCTTGCTTGTACAAATGTAATTGTTGAAAAATCCCTACTGAGTAAAAGAGCTTGCTGGACAATGTTGGAATTACAAACATATACCCTCAATATTCATGCCACATAAGTAAGCCAACATATTGGTCAGCAAAGGGGATGACAAGGGTTTAAGTCTTTTGTGGCTTGTTTCTTTCTTTCCAATAATTAATTCCTGACAGACATAATAGACAATGCACAATATGTACACCTGTCAATCTTTCTGTGTGTTGCATTCTGATTGGTTGGAATTGATCAGCATTAGCTACTAATAGGCCACGCCCCTCGACAGCCGATCCAATCAAACATGAAAGCTGATTGATGTCTTTTGCAAAATGTCATTTTTTGATCTGCATCTAATTTTATTCAGTTATAGATAATTCAAGCGCTACGTTATGTCTGTGATCTTTTATGAGCTGTAAAACTCTACATGTAAAAAGTGCAGAGTGCCATTTCACTTTTTTTTTAAGTAACCTAGATCTGAGCAAAACCTTAATGACAGACTAAACAATTTACACGTAAAAAAAGTCTTGAAGAGAAAATAAAAATTTATTCTGAAGCACATCTATGCCAAAGTCAACTGTGAAACTCTATTGTCTACTTTGGTTTAGTTTCTTTCAAAACAAGGAACAAAGAACTTATCCTTACAAATCTTAGAGATAAAAAAACACTAAGGGGAAAAAATGCAGAAGCTTTTTGTTTCAACTACACATTGGATAGATTTTTGTCTGCAGAGCACAGACATATTGTGGGCTTTAGATGTACCGTATGGGATTTAAGTCTGGTGGATCAAAGGTGTCTACACAGCTACTAGCTGGGAAAAAATATGGTTAATTATCAATATCAAGGGTTGAAGGTTTAGGGAGCAAACTCACCGCAAATCCAAAATGTCTGGGAGGTTTTGGATCTCAATCTTGAAAATCTCTGAGGTGAAGTGCTGTTGCGTCAGATAGTGATAAGGATCTGTTATGGCAGCGCCAGTCACCGGTACGTCAGAGGTGCTGGTGGAATGGTTATCTTGTGGGTCAAGACCTGATAGACAAACAAAAAGATTAAAAGACCAACTTTAATTAAAGAAGAAAATACATTGAATTTGCTATTTTTTAAAGGCATTTTAAAGTCTAATTGGAGCAAGTGAGATGTCTATGGCTACTGTCATAGAGCGTGCAAGTTGACCTCAAAAACATACAATCCTGGCCAAATCTCGCTGGGCCCCCAACCTCCCAGCCCCCGCTCAATGTTGTCTCTCATTGCGCGGTGTGTGCTCCATCCGCTGGAGAGAACAACATTGACCGGGGGAGCCGGGGAGTTGGTGACCGTTGGAGGCTAAGGTTGTTTCCAAGTGTCCCAACCATTTTGGCCGGGATTGTCTGAATGTACAATAGCCTTGATATTGGATTCGGATATTGCGCGTAGTACGCGCTCAAATAATAATACACACACGCACGCGCTGGTAACATGGTCAATGCACACGATTCACCATGACGGTGCACCATGTCATTTTGACCGATATTTTTACAAAATACAGATTGTGTTCGACGTGAAAGCCGTATTAGGATACACAAACAACGTATCACCTTCTTCAATTTGTTTTTAATCCCTCATTTGGACGAAAAATCCAACCATACCATAGTGTAACCACGGTTCACTACTGTAAATTATATAACAAGCAGAGTCACTCAATTCCTTTATATTTTGGTTTGGATGGATCACAAATGGATTTTTCGGCAAATTAACGGAATGAGTGAATACAAACAAATTGACAAGGATTGTATATTGTTTGTGTATCATAATGAGCCTTTCAAGTTAAACACAAACTGTATTTTGTACAGTTGTTGGCCAAAATGGCATGGTGAACCGTCATGGCGACCGTTACGATAAACGCAAGAATAAAGTTATGATTTTAAAGAATTGGAACATTTGTATTTTTAATTTCCATTTTTGTATTACTATCAATCATTATTATCTGGCCAAAATATATGATTTCTTTCATTCAACCTTCGGCCGCCATTTCATATTTTGGAAACAAAACTCAAGAAAACAGCTCCCCAAACGGCAAGTCATGCATATTTTAAAAAATGAACAAATCCAGACAATCCTGGCCAAATCTCGTTCATTGGGTGTATTGGGTGAGTTCAAAGACGGGAGTCTGTGGCTAGACTAGTCAGTGTTTGGTACCAAGATGTTCACATGAAAAGTGAATGTGAACTGGTGAGACTTGCATGCTCTATAATTGTACATAATCTGTGTAGCACCACTAGTCTGTTGTATTACATTATGAGCTCCATGTCTGTATGATGTTTAAATGCAAAGTAATATTCTAATATCTCTTATAGATGGACTCAAAGGTACTTTGAATTTGGATGATTGAAAAATCAATGCTGTAAAATATGAATGTCGTTGTAAAGTTGGCATCCTACGAGATGTATCTTAATTTGCACAGTATTCGAGGAATTGCAGCTTTTTATATGTTCATTAAAGCTGCAATTTCATTGCGTTTAAAACTCTTAACACAAATAATACAGAAATGTACTATCACCAAATTGGTGTTTGAGCTCTTGCATCTTTCTGACACCTAGTAATATTTGAGAAAAAAAATTGCAGGTCAAACCATGTTTCTAAAAGTCACATACTTTTTACAGGACAAACAAATCTGCGTGTAAAAGCAAGATCAGTGATGAAATAAATAAAAGTGTACACTAGCAACATTTAAACAAACAGCGATTTTCCTGAATTATTTTTTATTTAATATCTAATTCTTGCTTGTACAAATGTAATATTTGAAAAATCCCTATTGAGTAAAAGAGCTTGCTAGTCAATGTTGAAAGTACAAACATATACCCTCAATATTCATGCCACAAAAGTAAGCCAACATATTGGTCAGCAAAGGGGATGACAAGGGTTTAAGTCTTTTGTGGCTTGTTTCTTTCTTTTCAATAATTAATTCCTGACAAACATATTAGACAATGCACAATATGTACACCTGTCAATCTTTTTGTGTGTTGCATTCTGATTGGTTGGAATTGATCAGCAGTAGCTACTAATAGGCCACGCCCCTTGACAGCCGATCCAATCAAACATAAACGCTGATCTACGTCTTTTGCAAAAAGGAAACTTCAGAGGAAATACTTACCTTTGTAAGCGCCAAGCCGGAAACCAACAGTGTTATCTGTCAATGAAAATAATAAGACATGATACTGAAACTATTGCACAATTTATCCAGGGCCAAGTTTCATGAAGACCTGACAAGAAATTAGGGGAATTACTGAGAATTTTTTTCTGTAACTTTCTGTTGCAGTGTTCATGACAGGCACATCACATTCACATCTACATGTGTGCACACTTTATGTCCATTCCAGGCAATTTGCACTTTTAACTTAATGAAGTAGTGTCTTGAGCACCAATATTAGTGGATAGGTGTGCTCTATCTCCAAAAAAGAAAACAAAAAAAGAAATGCTATGATTTGAAATTTGACTTTCAATTTAGAGTGCCTAGGGTTGCTCTTTGCTTCTCTCAGAACTACTCTATTTTCTTTGCAAAGTCATGTTGACAGGATTCAATGAGCAGTTTTTTTCCAGTTTGCCAGTAAGTCCAGGGACAGTTGGTCTCAATCTGCCCCTGAATGAGAGAGTCTCTCTAAGCAGGGGCTTGAGGTTCACCTCAACTCTCATTGGTTGCCGGTGCGAGTCCCACTCAAGCAGCTGTGAATTGATTGGCTTTGGGTTGGGTTTTCCTGGGGGTTTTTTTGGTGACTTTTGTGTGTAGGGAAGACAGCTCATTTCAGAAAATTGGGTAAAACATCTTCTGGGGCTTTAACAATATTCAGGGCAGCTGTACAGTATGTAAGTCCACTGGCCAGAGAACTATGTCTGGAAACATTTTGTCAAGGGAGATTACATTTCCATTCTGGCCCACAACCATCCCATGTCTTTGGCGGGTAGCTCACCTTTGTTGCTTCAGCCACGGAGACATCTCCCCAATGTTCTGTTGCAGCATCTTGGATAAATTCCTCAGAAACTCCCTGGTGTTGGTCTGTCTGGTGGATAGCTGGTCCTCATACGGCTGGTTCCACAGTGGAGTCACCGTGTTGTTTAACCTGCAGATTGGGAGAAGAGCGAAAAGCACACTCAGTATTTCAGAGTCTTAAGAATTTTCATATTATGAACGCTTCAACTGCTATTACCCTTTTTGAGATATGGCGGACACAATCAGAAGGCGACATTTGATTGGGGTAAATTTGGGGTAAATCCAAATATCTTGACCTAAACCAAATAGCGCCTTGTATCATGCCCACCATATCTCATAAAGGATAATGGATTGTGTGAGTAACTTGTGATCTGTCTTCATACATTAAACCATTCTCATAACTTCAGTTTGTAGTTTAAGTGGTGCATGCGCAATGTAAATTTTAGACTTGAAACATCAAGAGAAATGTGGTCAACTTACTCTACACAGACATGCAAGCTTTGATGCTGTCCCTTCAAGGAAAACAAATAGCAAGGAAGAGTAAACTGACCACGTAACAGTTTCACTCAACAAATTTCATGTTCACAATGTCAACTGGCCTTTGAAACTGACAAGTTTGGTTCATAAAATAGTAATCTTGGATGTAAGAATGGTTTTCTTGTGCTGATCATGAACTACAGGGTGAGTCAAAAAAGCAGAACCCAAACCCCCAAAATTAGTTTTCAAATTAAAAAAAAATATGTAGCACCAAACATAATAATGACTGGAAAGCCTATTTCATAAGCTACTTTTAGATGAAAAAAAAATTGCTCAATCCATTCAAAGACTATCACCATTTAAAGACAATGACCACAAAACCTCTTTTGTCCAAAAATGCAATTTCAGGAATCATCACAATTGTCTTCCAACATTACCAGCAATAAAACCTCAGCTTAAAAGTTAAAAATATTTAACAAAGTCCTTTTGAGGCCCGTCTTTTAAAAAAACAGTAGATCTTAGCAATCAGAATACAATATTAACTGTTTTTTTGTTTTGACGAAACAGGTTTTAGGGTCATTATGTTTAAATGGTGATATTCTTTAAGCGAATTGAGCAAATTTCATCTAAAAGTAGCCTATGAAATTGGCTTTCCAGTCATTATTATGTTTGGTGCTACATATATTTTAAATATGAAATACATTTTGGGGGTTTGGGTTCCACTTTTTTGACTCGCCCTGTACTTGAGGTAACACATTTCCTTTCCCTTCCTCAAAAAAATCTACCACAGTGAAGGCAATCACATTCTTTGCACTTCAACTTTCAAGGGGTATCAAACCTTATAAATGGTATTATTGGCTGGGGTCTACCTTCCTATATCCGACAAAATCATCCCCCCAAAAAATTCATGAATTTCCATAAAATGAGCCATTTGTTTGTACCCTTGCATGAAAGAAGAAATGAGTGTTGTGATGATTTTGGTTGGTTGAGAACCGGAGTACTTTTCTAATGGATGGTGGTTCAAATCCAGCCCAACCCTGCATTCTATCCCAATGTCTTCACCTCTCTTCTACTGGTAAGCTGTCCTCCTCCTTCCTCCTCTTAGTTTCTTGGGTATTTCCATCAGATTCCTCTTGGCTTCTCTTCAGAGCGAGGCTCTTAGTGTCCGGGTCCTCAACTGGCTTGGCAAGCTACGGAGAGTCACTGCGGGAATGTGAACCTGTAACCACAGCAATAGCAGCCACTAGACCCTTTGCACTGGTAGCCAATACTAAGACTGTTGATTAGTTATGTAAATTCATTGAAAGTGCCAACAGAAGCAAGTGCCAATAGTAAAAACCACGAGTGACTTTGTGAATACCTTGGCTTTGAGCACTTGTCCTTTCCATTTGTGTCCGTTGAGTACTTTCAATGCCTCCTCCTTATCTTCTTGGCAGCTGAGGGATGAAACAAACAATTGGATTTCCATCAGTTAATCCATTGCAAGCAATCAAATGTAACAGGAAAGGAGATGAATATTTGTAAGATGGAATGTTTGTGTTGGGGGGGGATTTAAAGTTCTGTTCCCTTCGCTAGTTTCAAGTTTCATCCCAAAATTACATTTCTTTTCTAAATTAATATTTGGTTTTGCCCTTCACTGACATATAAACACTGTATACTCAAGGTGTTACCTCCACAATCAGTATCGGATAATGCATGGGCCTGGAACCAGTCTGCTAGCAAAGTGGATCAATTTGTCCCCAAACCAAGAAGAAGTTCACGGATGCTTTCTAAGTATATCAATTGAAAACAAAAGTCCAAGTGCACTTTCCATTTCAAGGAGGAGAGTGTGGTTTCAATGCTATGTTGATGCAGTGACTATTTATACCTGTACTTTAATTTTCTTTCTTGATTATCCAAACATCAAAACTAAAACTTGCGTCAAGTTTCCCTGTGCTCTTATTTGTGTTTCATTGCATCAGCCCACTCAACTTTCACTCTTTAAGAAGCTCCCATGTCACTCACTCCTGACTAGGATTTTCTGGCGCCAGTTTTTCTTTCATGTCTCAAACATTCATCCCTATCTTGTTGGTTATTTGTGCTAGCAAGTTTCCCAAACACTCCAAATTCGAACTCTGGGTAGTAAACCCACGGCACAGTCTTTGCAATAATCATCATTAAATGAAAGAAAAAGTAAGAGATTCCCTTTCTGCTGGGGAGTTCAAAAACAAAACCTTTTTATCAAGAACAGAAGAACATTTTGTCAGAACTCGTCAGAACAAAAAGAAATACACACATGGGCAATTCTAGCATTATGAAAGGAAGTGTAACGTCCTAGACAGAGCCAGTTAACCGTGATTTATCACTACCATTGCTTTTATCTTCCAAATGTTCAATGTCAAGCTCGACTGCATTAAAGTTGAGAATGAAATGTTTACTATTATTTAGTCACCAATTTGCAATAGTTTCAGTGTTGGGTTTTTGCCCGTCACGGACGTACTATAGACACTGTGTACTCCCGAGTATTGTCCCAGTGCTTGTGAAAGAAAAATGCACATTCTATACTCGGTTGAGACTCGAACCCAGGACCACCTGCTTACTACATGTAGTGCACACAGCTTACCACTCGACCACACAGCCTGCCGGGGTTTTGCTGGCTGGTTTGAATCTGACCTAGCAGCAGGTACTGCAACCCAACTATTTATAAGATGACATTTTGGATTGGGTGATATGAATTCAATAGTGTTGTACAGGGCGAGTAAAATAAGAAAGTGACCTAGATTCAAATTTGTTTCCTTAGAAAGCAATCAAATTTGATACACAAATGTATGTCTTACACGAGCATGTTCATTAACTCAACGTAAAAAAAGTTACTGAAATTGATCCATGCCATCTGAAGTTAAATGCATGTTTTACTCAAAAGAACCTATTTTTAGCTGTCCATGGAATCAGGACCACTGGTATCGGTACATGTAGCTATTGAGCTTTAGTGAGAATTACAGATGACACACAAGCATTCAAAAACAAATGAGATTTTAATAATTGAAATAAAGACTGAAGCATTATTGATACGATTAGATTTTGTGTTGTGAAAAAGAAGAACAAGTCCACTCTTTTTTTTCCAGAACTATTGATAGCGAATATTTTTAAAATTTGGTCACTTTCTTTTTGCCTCACCCTGTACATGTATATTCATGTATTTCAAAATTTCCAAATTTGTATTTTTTTCTTATTACAGAACCCATTTACTACTCTTGACAGGATAAGCTGAATCAGGAAACAAAAAAAATGCAAAATAAAGGACTACTAGGGCTGTGCATTGGAACCGGGTACCCGAGTACCCGACCGTCGATGTCAGGAACCGGTTCTTGATTAGGCCGAAAAAATACTTCTGCTTCCGATAACATGCCTTTCAAAAAAAGGGTCGGTTGGTTGGAATATTTTTTTTTTTGGCCAATTTTTTTTTAATGCAGATTGAATGAGGTGTTCAATTATATGCTTAGTTTTAGCCTGAACTATTTCCATTGCACTATGAATTAAAAAGCTATACACAAAATGGCCACAAAAAGTGAAAAAACCTACATTAATTATTGTCAATATATTTACCTTCAATAATTCTCAAAAAAATAATGGAAAATTCAGGTCGTTCGCATCATATGCAAGAGGCTAGTCAAGACGGGAAGCTGGCCAAAACTCCAAAGTGTGATGCACTGTGCATGTGTGGCCCGCGGCCAATAGACCTCGTTTTTACGTTCAAAAATTTAGGGAAACACGCTGCATTGTATCACTCCAAATACGGGTAAAAGTAGTGCGATCTCCAAATGAACTCTTGAACACAGAAAATAAGCGAGATCAATTCTGTGAATTAACTTGCAAAAATTTGTGCTTTCTCCATCGGTGTTTTCTTGGCATTTTTACGATGTCGAATCCAACCAGTTGACAGTGCACAGGCCTGCAATGCATAGCCATGCTAGCGCTATCGATTGCATAGCCATGCACAGACTTGTTACAGCATTTTCATCATGTCTTGTAAATTGGTCCCTGCGTGGCGTGGCGGGGAACCAGTTGTTGCTGCATTGAGCTAGGTTTACGCACGTGATTATAGTCACCGTGACATCGAATTGCGAAGCAAATTTTTTAAAATAACGGTTCCTTTTAAAAAAAATAGCGAACATAATTAAGAAAACTAAATACAAGCATTTTTTGACGCAAAAGGGTTGTTGAGAGGTATTTTGAGAAGACAGAAAAAACAACAAGATTTTATTTTTATTTATTCAATAATTCTTTTTTTTGGAACTGCCGATAAAATGTTTAGGGTCGCAGACTAAAAATAGGGTGGATCGGGTAACCAGGAGCAGAAGTATTTTTTTTTGGCCTTATGGTATCGGGTACCCATAACCAACTTTCAAATTACTTAATTACAGTAATTACTAAGCTGCAATTTACAAAACCGTAAAACTATAAAGTTCACTGTACTTGTATCTTGCTGTACTGATGTGCCGATGCGGTTGTAGTTAACAATCTCAACAGCATCTTCCGAGATTTGAATTTTGGCATGTTTGGCATTGGGTTTCCTTAATGGGTACCCAGGAACCCGTGTTTTTTTTCAATCGGGTACCTGGTTCCTGTATTAATCGTATGTGCACACCCCTAAAAAATACATTGCACAGGTTATACCACCGACATGTAGAGCTGTAAAATACTGCCAGTGTTTTTTAACATTACTCTTTTAATTTTATGCTTTCTTGAGACTTTACCCTCCGAAATCCGTCACAATCCAACAGTTGGTGTTGCATGATATTTAGGGCTCAGATGCAGAGCTTCACCTATTTAACCTATTAAATTCCCTAGGCATTTTGCAAGAATGCAACCTCAATCCTGCAACATACTCCAATTGCCTCAATGTAAAACTTGCTTAGCAGCCTCAATCCTGCAAAATTATCAATTATTTCTATAATGTGGTCCTTGGAGGGGTAACCACTGCCTCAATCCTGCAAAATCCTATAGCAGTCACTGTCATTATGTTGAGACAGAGCCAGTGACATCCTGAAGCAGTGCAGAGGATTTCAAGTATAATCTAGGCCTAAATTTATGTACGGCCGAGCATAAATAACACAAGGTCTGGCCCAAGACCTTGATACAGTGCATCCTTAAAAATACCAACCAAGTGCACTTTTTCTTGCCATAAAGCCTCAATCCTGCAAATCCTCCATTTTGCAAACAAAATTTTGAAGTATTTGGGAAAGGTTAGGGTTAATCAAAGATTTAACTCTTTAACTCCAAGGAAGCTTTATCAATTCTCCAAAATCCCAACAAGACTAAACTAATATCACATTATCTGTTCATCTAAAGCTACGGAAAAACATGTGTTCTGAAATTCTGAATCCATCAAAGTACAATTTTATTCAGGGGCTGGGATTTTGTGGTTTCGGGATAGTTTGGGTTGGAGAACAAGGCGCACATGTGTATGCAATGTATGGGAGGGAAAGACACTGAACTAAAAGGATGTATACACAAACTTAAACAAAAATGGCAACTATCATGCCAATGTCAATTATGAAACTGTGTTGATTATTTTTGTAACACGGCTGTTAAAACAAAACCAAAATAAAAAGATTAAAAATCCGGACAAATACGAACGAGCTTTAGTTTTCAACTTAATTTCTCATAAACGCACAGTGTACATTCTCTGTTAAAGGCAAAACAGGAGTGATCTTCCAATAGAATGCACTAAATGTTCGGCATGACGATCAATACAACACTGTAAATGAACTATGGGTGATGACTATCAAAACAGCTCCACTCCATCAACTGGTAGGGAAAGTGACATTGACAAGCTTCGTGACAACTTTCACGAGATTAAACACGGACTTCTTCAAATAAAATGGTTAAGTATTGAAATCATTGCACCGATCGGCATCCTCCTCAACATACATGTAGTCTTTCTCTTCACAGTCATTTGAGTGAAGTTCATGCGTACAATCATCAACATCTACTTGTCCAATCTGGCCGTGGCTGACTTGCTCTTCCTTACATATAACCTTCTCAGCCATTCCATGTAAGGGTCATCACCAAACTCAAAAATTGAAGTGAAAGGAATAAATTTTTGTCAGTTATATTTGATAAGAGGAATATTGAAACCATCTAAATCTCAAAAGATTTTTTAAAATAAATCATTTGAATTAAAATTTCAGCCTCCTGAACATAGATGAATTTTGTGGGCGAAACGGAGGGTCAGGGGTATAAATCACAAACTGAGGAAGTAATTGAAGCTCATTCATAAGATTGTGCTTTATCTGCATACATTTGGTAGCTATTCCAGTCTATTTGATAAAACATTGAGAATTTTTCGAAATGTCTTCAGTATTTTCCCACTATTTCATCGTGAAAACACCCTCAAAAATATGTCACGCGAGTCACAAAAAAGGACTTTTTTTCAGATTACTTAATAACTAGA